GTACCAACAGGCTAAAAAATAGCGTCTATTCGTGGGCTGTTAGGCTGTTGAACGGAAAATAACATAGCAAAATTGACTTGCGAGATGGTGCGTTGTTCGATAAGAGATTGAGTGTTGGGGGGGGGAGGCTCGTTTAATTTCATTGTACACAGGTTGTACAATAACAATAAAGGTATTATTTATTATTATTGCTCATTCCATTAGGGAGGCTAACAAAACACATTGATATTTGCTCCCCATTTTCACTAGTGGTGAGAATTCCATGGATTTTCCATTACAAGGTTTTATTTTCTTTCACTGAGCAAGCATAAAGACCCTATGGTGTCTTTGCAATATTTGTTGTATATTTGTATATAAAACAAATATTACAAAGAGACCCACGGGCCTTTATGCTTGTTCAATGAAAGCAGAGCATGTTGGAAGCAAATAGGCACTCCTGCAGGACGCAGGAAAACTGATGATCCAGTAGTGGATTCTTGAGAGGGATTTCTTGGCCCACTTCAGGCTCCCTCTCAGCTGCTTCTAATTCAGCTAAAAGCAGAGCTGTTGACCTTCTGATTCTAAATCCTTGCGCCACATTTTTCTGCCACTGCCCTTAGCTCTGATCAGTGTCACATTCCAAAGTCAGGTGATATATTCCCAAATCATCAAGAAAAATGTCCCGGTCATTACCTATTAGTCCATCAGGCAAAATCATAGTGATAGGCTAAATCATGTTATTCATAACAGCAAAACTCATAGTATATATATAAAATGTAAAAATGATGCTAAAAGCAAATAAAAAGACACAACATTCAGGACTTCATATATATTCTGATTTATATGTTTTGAGGCCTTATATTTTTCTTATTAAGCAATGTTCTACTTCTTTTCTTTAGACAGTTTTAAAGGTTTTTCATTTATGCTTTTTTACAGCCAAAGATTCCGGAGATGTTTTGTGACCTGGAGATAATTCCTGCACTCCTACATGGGGACCTGTGGGCAGGAAATGTAGCTGAAGATGAATCTGGGCCAATTCTTTTTGACCCTGCTTGTTTCTACGGTCATTCAGAATTTGAACTTGCAATTTCTATGATGTTTGGTGGCTTTAGCAGTTCTTTCTTCTCTGCTTACCACAGCAAAATTCCCAAAGCTCCAGGCTTTGAAAAGCGCAACAAACTTTACCAGCTATTTAACTATATTAACCACTGGAACCATTTTGGGACAGGATACCGAGGCCCCACTCTTAATGTTATGCGAAAGCTTTTAAAGTAACCCTCAAACATGGTCATCCTGAGTAAGTGATCTCCTGTTTGATGTTAGAACAACATCAGCTACAATGTTTTAAAGAGGATGGGAAGTCACCTGAAAGTTACAAAAGGCAAGAGCTAAGGTGACATTTGTACACATTTAATTCCTCACATAATGCTTGCAGTGGTTTGGTATTTTTTGCATTCTCTTAATTGTCAACCAGCATATTAATGACCACTTTGATAAGGTAGGAAAACTGTGTGCTGTTTGTTGTTCTAGGGAGTGAACTCTGTAGCAAAGTGTACAAGCAGGATAAATGAGAGTTCCAGAGTAGTAGATTTCAAAAACAGTATTTGCAAAAATGCAGTGGAGAAGATCCAGTCTCTGTGCCAGTGGATGTGATGTTGTTCTCCTTCCTCTCCTCCCTCCTGCATTCCTTACTCTGCTCAGCTTTATTTTGTGGGGATACGGGCAGAAGGGCAGGGGAGGGGAGAATGATGGAGTCATTCCGTTTGCACAAATGGAAGACTGTCGGGCAAGTGGGATGTCACAACTGGATATCAACAAAGACTGCAAACCTGAGAGCCCATGTAAACATGTACACCAGCTTGTGTGGATGTAATGACTCCCTTGCTCAAACAGTTTAAAATAAACAACAACAACAATAATAATTTATACCCCGCCCATCTGGCAGGGCCTCCCCAGCCACTCTGGGTGGCTTGCAACAGGATATTAAAAACACAATAAAACATCAAACATTAAAAACTTCCCTAAAGAGGGCTGCCTTCAGATGTCTTCTAAAAGTCAGATAGTTGTTTATTTCCTTGACATCTGGTGAGAGAGTGTTCCACAGGGCGGGGGCCACTACCAAGAAGGCCCTCGGTACATTCGTGATTAAAATAGACAACAAAACAAATAATTAAACAGAAAACAGTTAAAACAATAAAATTTCAATTTTAATTGAAGGGAATCCTTGCCTAAACAGGTGTGCTTTCAGGAGCCAGCAGATTGCCAACACTGATTTATAGGCAAGCCAAAGCTTCAGTAGTAGGACCTCTGTATCCCAGCCAATAAAGCACTGCAGCTGTAGACCTAGTACTATCACACTAATTTCTTTTTCCTTTTTAAAAACCAGTTTAATACGGATAAGGCTGCAGGTTGACAACAGTGATGGGGAACCTACTGTGGCTTTCCAGAGGTGCTGAACTACAGCTTCCATCATCCTTGATCACTAGCTGTGCTGGCTGGGTCTAATGGGAACTGGAATCCAGTATCACCAAACACAGTGATACTGCTGAATTAAAAAATGGGATTGATTGCATTACACGGATATACTCATAAATGTTAAAAGGATTGGGTCAATAAATTGCATTCTTTACATACAACTGCAAGTGACTGAAACATGTTAGAAGTATTTCAAAGCGTGCTTATTTTGTTTTAGTGTTAGGGTTGTCTGTCCTGGTTATTGTACATAATGAAATAATAAAGTAAGTGAGTACAGGCATACCTCAGAGATATTGCTGGTTCGGTTCCAGCCCACCACAATAAAGCGAATATTGCAATAAAGTGAGTTGCTTTTTTGTTTGTTTCCCAGTGCATATAAAAGTTACCTTTTCACTATAGTGTAGTCTATTGACCCACCCCCCCACCCCCCATGGCTGCATGGGTGGGAGAGGAGAAACCTGGCTCCAGTCCTATCCAGCTCCATTATTGTGGCCAGAAGAGGGTTGGTGGCAGCAGAGGACTTGCTTCCTCCTCTTTCTAAAGAGCAATACTGTATCTGCAAAGTGCAATAAAGTGAGGTATGCCTGTACAGAAATAAATATTAGGTATCCTTGTTTGGCATGCTTTACCCATGTGCATTTTCATAGTGCAGGACATGTAGCATTTAGAATTTTAAAGTATTTTTTTCAATATTGTGATAGTGTGAGAATTATCATTCTGGGTTAAATGGAATGTTTGAGCAACCCTCATTTATGATAGAAAAGTGGAAATTAAAGCTGTCAAGTGATCGAAGGCTTAGCAAGCTCACTTTTTAAGTATACAGAATTTGAATGAAATTTGCTGTGCTACACTTACTATGTATGTAATATGCAATCCAAATAAAATGTTGTCATTGCACACAGAATTTGTAACTATAATTGCCATCAGCAAATAAGTGAGAGTGGGTTCAACATAGTTGTGAGACTGGAAAAATAATTATGAGCATATATCCCCCTCATCCCCTCACCATTGACAGTTGCAGATTGCAACCAAACCATCCTCTATCTAGCCATAAAGATCACTTTATGGGTGATCTCAAGCCAATATCTATATTTCAGGGTTGTTCTGTAGATGAAAAGTGGTGTGCGAAGAGAATGATGTATATTGTCCTGAGTTTCTTGGAGGATAAGCAGGATAAAAAACATGGAAACAATAGTCTCAAATCTATAAGCATAGGGACCTGCAGGACACCTGATGGCAGTATGGTTTAGATTAGTTAAGCACTGTAAAGAACTGAAAGGAGCTACAATTGAGTACCACAAAATGTGATTCTTAGCATTGGTAATGATGCAAACAACCAGGCTCCTTAGAGAGAACAAGTAAATGGATATTTTTGGCCAGATAGGGCATGATTTTATTAGTTTCGGGGGAAAGGACATAACAGACACACACCAATGCAGGGATTTTTATTACTGAAACAGTCACACCTGTCCAAACACTGATTTCTTTTTCCACCTGCTAACCTTAAGAAATTGGACTTTCATGGTGCATTGTGATTTCGATGGATTGGAAGACTGAGGTCATTTTCAGATCTGTGGTACATGATTATGACTGGCAGTTAGTTTTTTATATTTTGTTTTCCCTTTTCACCGTTTTTGCTGCAAAAGTTATGCAATCAACAACAACAACAAATGACAATGTCGTTTCCTGACCCTGTGCTTCCAATCCGGCACATTTATATCCCGCACATCTGTTTTCAAAACTCCCAGGGCGACTCATGCACCTTTTATGCTTTTTACAGACGCTATTATTATTATTATTATTATTATTATTATTATTATTATTATTATCTCGTCGTTTATGACCAGCGCTCTAGCATCCAAGGAAACGCCTCCTGCACAGCCCAGGGCAAGCAGCTCTTCTTCGCCTTGGCGTTTAAAGAAATACTTTCCCGCGATGTAGCTATACAGTACCAGAAAAGAAACACACTTACGTCCCGTCCCTGCCACAAAAAGAAAAAACGCACACAGCCGGGCGCTTCGCTCCTTCCCAGCCAATCCCCTTTCCCCTTCCTCGCCCTTCCTCCCTCTGCTGCCGGGCTCCTCCCCTCCTCGCAGCCCAGGCGCGGACGTCCGCCGAGCCCTTCTGTCCCGCGCGAGGAGCCGTACCTGGAGAGGCCTCTTCTGAGCGCAGGCGCCAACGACGAAAGGTAAACCCTGCAATCGGCGAGCTCTTGTGGGAGAGGCGCTGAGCTTGGCTCGGGGTTTTCCGTGGTTCGCAGGAGCCTGGGCGAGGCGAGGGTAGGGCCAGGGCCTTCAGGGCGAGATGGCGAGCCGCCTTGGGAAACGGGAAGAGGCTTTCTCGCGATGAGGTCGCCCGGGGGGTGTCTTGGACGCCAGGCCCCGGGGAAGGAGGGCGGTGCGCGGCTCGGCTGCAAATGTTAAAAAACCGCCCTCAGCCTCAGCCTTGCACCTCAGTTAAGGCGGCAAAAGGCGGAATTCTCGTGGTTTTGAGTTCGTGCGAAATGCTTCCCCCCGCCTCAGCCCTGAAAAACGAATGCATAGTATTAACTCTCTCTCAGTATGGCAACAAAAGCCCTGGTAATAGGTCGGGGGTGAAAGGGAAGGATTCCAGGTTCAGGGGTTTAGCTTCCCCGCTGGGCTTGAACGCAGCTTCAATCGCTATACATTTTTATCTGCAAAGGGACAGTGCATTCCCGAGCAATCCTCATGCCATGCATACGGCTATACTGCATCAAGGGCTTATTTATATTTTTTAAAAACTGAACTAACCTTCTTTCCATCCCTGTCAGGATAGAAATGTATCCTTTGGAAGCGTATGGGATTTGGAAGAGATGGGAGAAGGGGCTCTTGTTAAATCGCATGTGGAACACGAGATGTATATAGCAAGGGAAGGAAATTCCTTTTATACACTGTCCCGTTATTTTTCTATGGGGAAAGAACGGACACAGGCCAGCACAGATTTAAGCCCACTGAAAATAATTGAGCTTAAGTGCAGTTCTCTTACGTGCACTTGGATTGCGGCCATCATGCAAGGCAAATTTGCAGTGTAGTTGTGCACAAGTCTACTTGGAAGAATTCCCCATTGAATTCAATGGGTCTTGCTTTCAGGAAGCTCAGTATAGGATTGTAACATTAATTGTGGAATTTAACTGTAATGGTAAATGCTGGTTTGCTGTGCCTTTGCCTAGAGAAGAATTTGCCACGAGCTGAAGATGGTTTTAAATGAGATGAACGGAGATGGGCCTGAGCAAGAGGATAGCAGATGCCTGGAGTCTGATGTCATCGCCAAGGGAAACATACTTGAGACCTTTTCAGAGAGTCAGGAAATACAGGAGTTGATTAATTCTCTCAGATCAATGCATGGAGACCTATCATTGAGAGAGACGGTGCTTGAAAAATTTAAAGGTATGAGCTCTTCCTTTTAGTATGTACAACTGATGATTGGGATGTTGTCACCAGATCCTACTAAGTGTAATGGTTAAGCATTTGAATTGTGAATTAAGACAACTCTTGTTCACCTTATCCATTAACTCTATAGGCCTACAATCCTCAACACGCTTACTAAAGAGTTAAGTTCCACTGGATACAATGGAACTTATTCTGAGTAAAAGATTCATCAAGATTGCCTTGTAGGTGGCCGTAGGAAAGCAATAGCAATTTACAATATGCAAAAAGTAATGCTTATTTGAAAATTTTCAAGTTTTGATAATATTCTCAAATTTGTTAATCTCTTTATTGCTGAAATAAATTGCTGAAGTGGACTAGTTGCTCTCTAAAAATGCCATTCTTACCATTCTCTCTGAGCTTTGTTCTAAATAAAACCACAAAGGAAAGTTGGGACACAAGCTTTTATGATTACAGACATGGTTGCAATAAAACATTTTTGACTGGTCTCGTGGTCTGTTATAGAATATGGCAGATGATTGTCTCCTATAACTCTCCAACAGTTGCATTTGGTAGTTCAACATTACTGAATAATAGAACATTTAAAATGCCTTACTGACCTCACATGTCACACTGAGCCAAATCATGGCATAGTGCAAATGTGCAAACACTTGGAGAAGAGATCCCAGCCACTTATCTCCCACCCGGCTTTGTTGCTGTGCTGACCTGTGCCATGGTTTGACCAGTGGTTTAGCTCTCACCATAGGTTTTATCCAAGAATGAACGCAGGTTCAGATGGCTTAGCTCAACATTGCGCAGTAGCAAAGTGGCTGGGTTCCCTTGTCCAGGAGATTACACACTCCTGTGTTCACATTAAACCATGGTGTGACATGCAAACTAGTCCATTATGGAAATGCAATAAAAAACAGTGAAGCAATAATAACATTAGAGCAAAGCGGCCAAATGGGGTTGTTAAATTTCTACAAAAAATGAATATCCTCTAGCACAGTAGTGGGGAACTTCCATCCCGTGGGCCTAATTAGTTATCTGATTTTGGCTTGTGGGCCATATTCGCAAACCACATCCACCTGGTAGTTATTCAGTGTCAAATGATGTCAGGTGCTGTGATCTGTTAAATCCAATTCAAGCACTTAGTTAGAGGTAAGCCTCTGCTGCCACCTTGTACTCTCAAGGAGCAAGCACATAATAGCTCTAGTATTGGAGATAAGCCTGTTCCTGCAGCCTGAGTTTAGTGTTGCCTGATGTCAGGTGATTGTCAGGTGGATGGATCCCCCCCCCAATGTCTCAGAAGTGGCACCTTGGAGAGTGGTCCACTTCTGGATCCAGTCCTCTGACTGAATCTAGTTCCTCACCCCTGCTATACCAATAACACCTTTAGAAGGTTCAAAAGAGCATTTCACCAATATTATTATTTATTCATAGATCAAGAACAGGATACAGTCAGAAAATGAGTGCATCTTTTTAGGCATTTTGGTGTAAGCTACTGTTTTGATTATTAGGGTTTTTCAAATACAGTGGTACCTCGGGTTGCATACGCTTCAGGTTACAGACTCCGCTAACCCAGAAATATTACCTCAGGTTAAGAACTTTGCTTCAGGATGAGAACAGAAATCGTGGTCCAGCGGCACAGCGGCAGCTGGAGGCCCCATTAGCTAAAGTGGTGCTTCAGGTTAAGAACAGTTTCAGGTTAAGAACAGACCTCCGGAACAAATTAAGTACTTAACCCGAGGTACCACTGTACAGTATTTACCATATTTTTCGCCCTATAGGGCGCACCGGCCCATAGGACGCACTTATTTTTTTGGGGGGGGGAATAAAGAAAAAAAAAATATTCCCCCCCCCACCAAGCTTGCCGGGCTGGGGGCGGGGGAAGCCTGAGCTTCTCCCGACCCCAGGCCCCAGAACAGGTCCGGAGCAACGGCGAGGTTGCATTCAACCTCGCCATCGCCTGCGGCGCCCGGCGGGAGTTCCCGCGGCCTCTGCAGGCCTGCGGATAGCTTCCTGAAGCCTGGAGAGCGAGAGGGGTCGGTGCGCACTGACCCCTCTTGCTCTCCAGGCTTCAGCAAAAGCCTGCATTCGCCCCATAGGACGCACACACATTTCCCCTTCATTTTTGGAGGCGAAAAAGTGCGTCCTATAGGGCGAAAAATACGGTAGTTGGCCTTGGACTGCCACCTAGTGATGATTTAGTGTAGCATCATTGAAGTGTATGTATTATGAATGAATGAACTCCTTTACAGGAAAAATTTAAAAACATTTCTATTTACCCAGGCATTTGGTGGCTGAAGGATACTGCCCATGGCAACTTTGAAATTAGTAACTGTGAGGGTATATAATTTCTAGATGGCTTTTAAATTGTTTTGAAATGTTTTGAATATGTTATTTTAAATAGTGCAGTGGTACCATGGTTTAAGAACAACCCAGTTTAAGAATGATTTGGTTTACAAACTCTGCAAAACCAGAATTAGTGTCTTGGTTTGAAAACTTTACCTCGGTCTAAGAATGGAATCTGAATGGTAGAAGGGCACCAGCAGTGGGAGGCCTTGTTAGGGAAAGCACGCCTTGGTTTAAGAACGGTTTTGGTTTAAGAACAGACTTCCGGAACGGATTATGTTCGTAAACCGAGGTACCATAGTATTATTTTAACTTTTTGATGTTTGCCAAACTGGGCTCCTTTAGAAAAGAGGGCAGGGATAGAAATGCAATAATAAATGTTGACAAAAACTAATTTTGTCTAATATAAAGATGGAACATAATGGAGAAAATATAAAATGCCATATAGTGAGTCAGACTATTGATCCATCTAGCTTAATGTTGTCTTCACTGACAAGCAATAGCTTTCCATGGTTTCAGGGAGAGAGTTTCTCTCAGCCCTACCTGGAGATGCAGGTGATTGAACTTGGGACCTTCTGCATGCCCTGAGCCAAAGACGACTGATAGGAACAGTAGGCTTTGCCAACTGAGTGTGAAATAAGAGAATAGAAGTAATAATAATAACAATAACAACAACAACAACAACAACAACAACAACAACAACAACAATAATAATAATAATAATAATAATAATAATAATAATTATTATTTATACCCCGCCCATCTGGCTGGGCTTCGCCAGCCACTCTGGGCGGCTTCCAACAAAATATTAAAATATAGTAGTCCATCAAACATTAAAAGCTTCCCTAAACAGGGCTGCCTTCAGATGTCTTCTAAAAGTCCGGTAGTTGTTCTTTTTGACATCTGGTGGGAGGGTGTTCCACAGGGCGGGTGCCACTACCGAGAAGGCCCTCCCTAGTATAGACTGATAGACTGCTTGAAGTATAGACTAATGAGCCAATGAGAGGAGCATTTGCTCTGGGGACATAGCACTGGCTAATTTATGAGAGTGACTCCAGACCCCTCTTGGAACAAAATTATTTCTTAGTAGTTGGGAAGCTTATGGAGAGGAATAAAGGGTGGAATGGTCTAGTATGCTCTGTCCTACCAGTTCCCCTGGTAAGAGACTTTTTAGAGATTCACAAGAGGACATACGGTAAATCATTTGATTTAATTATATATTTCCACTTGCCTTTTTAAAAAGCAAATGGTACTCCTTTGCTGCTCAGGATAACTATTGACATGCTCTTTTTTAAAGAAACTGTAGTTTCAGGCTAGGAATGTTTATGCTGTTTCCTTTTAAAACAACATTTTCAGATTGATTTCAGATTTTCCACTGGATATGCTTTTATCTTTCAGTTATATTGAACAATTATCAGGAACAGCCTCACCTTTTGGATCCACATCTAGGTAAGTTTTGTTGTGCTGTTTTTAAAGATTTTGATAGAATCTTAGAATACTGGTCAGCATGGACATCAGGTGAAGCAGCTTTGCTTTAAGTATGGGGAGGGGCAGATTCTCTTTGGTGAAAGTGTGTTGGATTTCACCGCACTTCCCCTAGCAGCTTTATCATATTTAATCTAGCAGGGTTCCCTAAAAAGTGAGAAGCAGACTGGGGTAGTTTTGTGTTATTTCCCAACTCACAGGTTTCTGTCCTGGAAAACGAGAGTTCATCTTGGGGGAGCTTCTGTAAAGATGCATATCTCCTGGGCAATTGAAAGCAGCCTACAGTTCTCTGGGGTGACCTCCTTATTTCTCAGGAAGTGCACCTGCAAAGTAAGAAATAGTGCGTTACTCTCTTCTAGGCCTCTTCTGTCTTGCATTTCTTACCTTGCAGGTGCCTCTCCTGGGTTATACAATAGTTAGTCAAAATGGTTTAAGCGTGTAAGGTGCTGCAGTTGTTCTTATCTTGCTGACACATGAACTTTGAAATGAAGGAACTGCTGTCAGGCAAGGCATATAGTAATAGTGAAATATACTATACTACTGCATTGCTAATATATACTTAGTATATAGTGCTGTATTAAGAACTTAGTATATTTAAACTGAAATGAGACAACAGAATATAGCAATACCATGTTTGCCTTTAATAGGAGCTGTAGTAATTTATTTCTGTCCTCTGGCCTTATAAAACCTAACCATTACATTTTGCAGAATAGTTCTGCTGTATTTTATTAGACTGAAGGGTAGCTTAAATGTATTTATCTTGATTTAAAGGAGGCTGCATTATGATAACTTTGCAAAAGGGAGACAAAGTTCCAGTGAATGATTCAGCAGTCTGAGCCAATGACTTCAGATCAAGTCTCTGGCAATTCTAGTGCCTTAGTCCATTTGACATAGATGAGCCAGGACTAAGCGGGGGGGGGGGGGGGACACGGACCCTTGGCAGCTCCTCAATTATAATGTGTATGTCACTCATTTTCTCACAAATATGTTCCTGAAGTAGTCTTCTGACATTGCTTTTTTCAGACGTGTGTAAAAATAATGAAACAAATTTGCAGACTAATGTCTTTTCTACCGTTTTGACTGTTTTTCCTCTAGAGTCGATGTTGAATTCACTTCTGCTTATTATCCAGGATGAAGCATCTCCCTGTTCTTTAGTTCATCTGACCTTTCAATTTCTTTACATCATTTCAAAGGTAACATGTTAGAAATGGGATTCTCCACCCCAAGGGATATGTTTCAGTAAGCTCTAGAAATATTTGGTATTTAATCTGGGTTTGTTAATAATTTGGGTTCCACTTTCACAGTTTATTATCGGGAAGTTGGTACTTTATGTTTTCTGAACAAATGTTGGTAATAAGAATATTGTTTACAAGCTTGTTGCTTGAAATACTACATACGCATAAATTACTCTAATTATGGGTTATTCTCCAGTTTTTTGCCTTGTGTATTAGACTGTGAAATACAGAAAGACGAACTTGTGACTGTTGGCACAGGGAAGTGCAAACAGGAAAAGAAAAGAAAAGAGACAATGAACAATGGCATGGACATTGGTTGCCATAGTCCTAAAATGGTTCCCTATTCTTTTATGAAAGCAGTTGCTATAAATTCTCAGCACAGCATGACTGATTTGTTGGAGTAAAAGGGACGCAGGTGGCGCTGTGGGTAAAAGCCTCAGCACCTAGGGCTTGCCGATCGAAAGGTCGGTGGTTCGAATCCCTGCGGCGGGGTGCGCTCCTGTCGTTCGGTCCCAGCGCCTGCCAACCTAGCAGTTCGAAAGCACCTTCGGGTGCAAGTAGATAAATAGGGACCGCTTACTAGCGGGAAGGTAAACGGTGTTCCGTGTGCTGCGCTGGCTTGCCAGAGCAGCGATGTCACACTGGCCACGTGACCCGGAAGTGTCTGCGGACAGCACTGGCTCCCGGCCTATAGAGTGAGATGAGCGCACAACCCTAGAGTCTGGCAAGACTGGCCCGTACGGGCAGGGGTACCTTTACCTTTACCTTTTAGCTTAAGTGGCCAAAGAGATCCCAGTATCTACCAGCTACTGATTGAGGGGCATATAAATGGCAGGCATGAGAGACAGAAGAACTAGAAACAGAACATGCTTAATTTATTATTATTATTATTATTATTATTAATAAATAGAGCGGCTGTACTAGAAGCTGAATGGCTATGATCCAGACAGCATACCATGTGTTGTCTACACATCTCATCAAGCCCTCTCAGTTTCCACAAGTGCTCATAAATTACTCTTTATATGCCTCTGAGTATACAAAAAACGTTTTGTGATTTGATGCAAGATCTCTTTTTATGGGGAATGTCACTAGTGTGGGTTTCTGTTTTCCAGAATGGTTTGCTGCCAAGTCTCATTGCCACAGATGCTATTCCTCTGCACTCTTCCTGTATCTGTGGGGCCTGATGGCATCAATTTTGGGGGTAGATTTTGCCAGGGGGGGACGGGGGACAGACCATTTCCCTTCTCTTTCGTCTTCCTTGATGTTATCTCAGCATTCTCTTATTTTGTTTTCATTGTTACAGAGGTGGTAAGTCTTTGACTTGCACCACTTCGGATGCAGGTGCCAGCTTGCACAGACAACTAGTATGTTAGGAAGAACCATTATAGTCTTGCCTTCTCCATGATATGATAATTTTCTGTAGGAATGTTTCTTCATGGAAGAGTATCCGATTGTGTGAATCCCTATGCGCAGCCCGAAATGGTGTTGTCTAGACACAAGTTGACCACCTCAGTGAAAACTAGGCCTAGTATGCCATAAATTAAACCTGGTACCTCAGGGGTTATTTTTTTTTGGGGGGGGAATACTGCATAACCTCATTTTTATAGTACCATAACTGGAAATGAATTATTGACTTGAGAAATGTTTTTTCTTGCTAGGTACGAGGGTATAAAACATTCCTTCGCATGTTTCCTCATGAAGTAGTTGATGTACAACCTGTCTTGGATATGCTGGAATCTCAGAATCCTAAAGACCATGAGGTGAGTTCATGTTTGCCCCTGCTTGTGTTGCTCACCAACCCCACCTCTAATTCTGCCTGCATCTCTCCCAGCAACCCCCCTCTCCCCACCACCACAACTCATTAGACCAGGAATGGGAAAGATTTTTCTCCCCACCTCATAGGCTAACTTTGAATTACACGAGATAATTAGGATGTCTCATGTAATTCAAAAGGGACACGGGTGGCGCTGTGGGTTAAAGCCTCAGCGCCTAGGACTTGCCGATCAAAAGGTCGGCGGTTTGAATCCCCGCGGCGGGGTTCGCTCCTGTCGCTCGGTCCCAGCACCTGTCAACCTAGCAGTTCGAAAGCACTCCCAGGTGCAAGTAGATAAATAGGGGCCGCTTACTAGCGGGAAGGTAAACGGCATTTCGTGTGCTGCGCTGGCTTACCAGATGCAGCTTGTCACTCTGGCCACGTGACCCAGAAGTGTCTGCGGACAGCGCTGGCCCCTGGCCTATAGAGTGAGATGGGCGCACAACCCCAGAGTCTGTCAAGACTGGCCCCTATGGGCAGGGGTACCTTTACCTTTATGTAATTCAAAGTTAGCCTAAACCGCCTTAGAACAAGAGACAAAAGGGGAAAACATGTTAAAATGGGAGCACGATTTGGGATATGAGATAGATCTGGAAAGATGGAAAACTTTTTGGGAGGCAAACATAAATTTTACTGCGTGTGATTTATTAAGAGAATTTCAGAAAAAATCACCACAGATGGTACCTAACCCCTGCCAGATTGTCAAAAATAAATAAAAGGAACAACGACAAATGTTGGAAATGTAACAGAATAAAAGGTACGTTATACCACATGTGGTGGACTTGCCCAAAGATTAAAACCTTTTGGGACATGATCCATGACGAAATAAAAAAATTGATAAGGACATCACACACAAAAAAGGCAGAGGCATATTTATTAGGAATTCTAGATAAAGATATCCCAAAAGATAAAACTAACTTATTTCTATATGCGACAACAGCGGCAAGAATTTTGATTGCTAGCTATTGGAAAGAAGACAGCATCCCAACAAAAAGAGAATGGTTGGGGAAACTTTGCGAGTACCTGGAATTAGGAAAACTGACGGATATAATAAGGAGAAAATCCAAAACTATGGTTATGAAGCAATGGGAGTTCTTAAATGATTATTCACAAAACCAGGGCTCAACTACAAAAATCTGGTTGTGTTTAGAATAATCTTGTGCATAATATAAAAAATACAAAGTGAGACATTAAGGAAATCCAAAGGAAAATATGAAGAACAGAGGTTCTGACGAATTGGAAGTCTTTTTTTTTAATTAAAAAAACCCACTTTATTTAAGGTAGATAGGGACAAGATGAAATTATACAATTGAATATAAATATAGATGGGAAATGGCTATGTATTGTGAGTACTTACCTACTTTTAAAAGTTTTCACTTATGATGTTTTTCTTTTACTTCTTCCTTCTGATATCTTATCTTTCATTTCACTGCTTTATTGTGAGTAGCATTTTATAGCGGTATAAATAACTGTAAGTATGAAAAGAGACGAAATATTCTATAATTCTTTTTCCTTGGTTAGAGGTATTTTCTTTTCTTTTGTATTTTCTTTTGTTGTGAATATGTATGTTTTCTAATTTGTACTTAATAAAAATATTAATAAAATTTATTTTTTTTTAAAAAGAGATATTTAGGATGTTACATGACTGACAAGCGGGTTGTCCCGCTCACCTGCCCAAATCCCCACATCAGAGGTTGAAAGGGGCAGTGTGAGAAGGGTTGCACAAGGCAGACTTTTCAACTTTTTGTGATCCTTCTCCTCCTTTCCACTTCCCCCACTGACGTTGGGCATGCAGAGGACTGCCATTTCACCCACCCCCACCCCTCACCAAAACCTCTGTATGTAGATGAAAGAGACAGATAGGGGAATGCTATTAAAATATACAGTGCTTGTATCAAATGCTAATCCTACGCGGGGGAGAACAACTGAAAGTAATAATCCTGACTTACTTAGATCCATGCATTTCAGTGGGTCTACTCTGAGTTGGACTAGCACATTGCCAGTTTCATGTGGAACATGTGCAAATATGATTGCATGTGTGCTGGATGGGGCCATAGCTTAGTAGTGGAGCTCATACATTGTATTCAGAAGCTCCTAGGTTCAGCTCCTAGCGTTTTCAGGTAAGGCTTGGAAGGAATCCCATCTGAAACCTTGGGCGAAATGCTGCCAGTCCATGTGGTTTACACTGAATGGGAGGGGGGGTCTGTTTTGCTAAAATACAGCTTTGTATGTTCACAGGTGTGCTTTCACTCACACTGTTTGAAACACTGCTGTCATATCTGCATGCTTTATATACCCTTTTAGCAAGAATTGTTGCTTGCCTTGTATTCTAAAGAGGCAATTGCATTCTCACTTATTTTTGAAGGTCCAGGGAACTGCACTTTGAAAATTTCAAGCTGTTATCTTGATAAAAAGATATGGGAATGAGCAAACTACTTCTGGAGTGTTCCATCTATGAGCTTTTTCAGAATAATGAAATTCCTATCTTATGTTTGCACATGTCTTCAGGAGCCATGATTTGTTTGGCAGGGTTCACGAAGCTGGGGCCTAGCCTTGTGTGTGAATAAAGTATTCTATCTGAACCTTGTTCCATTTAAATCTGTGTAACTGTCCTTCCATATTCAATTAAAACTAAATCTTGGAGGTCCTATTTCATTCCTATTTTTTGTAATAGTGGTCTACATTTTGCATATGGAGATGGTTTTCACAAGTGTGTGCTGCAAGCTTTCTGGGGGGCACAAACTATTTTTAAAAACAACTTTTATGATAAATATATATTTTTTCTGTGTTTCATTAGACATGGGAGACACGCTACATGCTCTTGTTGTGGTTGTCTGTAACATGCCTGATCCCGTTCGATTTGGCACGGCTGGATGGAAACATCTCTTCCCAAGAAGGATGCCCTCGAGTGCCAACAATGGATCGCATTCTCAAAGTGGCAAAAGCAAGTATTTCTGGATCTGTTCAGCAATCTGTAGAAAGCAGAATGTCTTTTGTCATATTAATAAGCCTTTACAGTTGTTTGGGGTTGTTCTGGGGTACTAGCTTTAGTCTTGGACTTGGGTGTGGGAAACCTCATTTGAAGGTTTATATTTGCCATGATGTTGTATGTTGTTTGGCAAGTCACTGTTTCTTAATTTGAGTATCTCATCTGTCAAATGGTAAAACAGTAACTTATATTATTATTTATTTATTACATTTCTACAGTGCCCTTCAACTGAGGATCACAGGGCAGTTTAGAATATAAAAACACAAAAATACATAACATATCATTTACAAGGAAATTAAACAGTGCAGGAGCTAGGATACAACCTTGCTTAACTTCCTTTGTAACTGGTACGGATTCTGTGAGCTGCCCATTTGTAGAGAAGTGCACCTTCAGCACAGTGCTTTTATATAGATGTTTAATCAAGAACAATAATCTTTTATCTGTACTCAGAGAGTTTAACTTATCAGAGCATAACATATAAAAATATATTTTAGACAAAACAAGACAGTTGCTGTAAAATACTTTGCAAAAAACCCCAATATAAAAATATGAATTCCTCATAATGTGTTTATATTAAGAAAATGTGTAGTTGGAATCTTGTTCATCTGTAAAATTGAATTCTTGTGAATTTATTCTCCATTATCTTCCCTGGAATTAACACCAAGATTACCCTGCTTGTGCTTTAAATACACCAATATTTAATTTTCACTTTGAATAAGATGAAACAGAGGGTGTTTGCAAAAGGGCTTCCAACAGCCCTATACTGCACTTTGAAGTCCCAACAATTTGCACTTCAGTAACTCTCTGTATGAAGTCCATACTTGGATGCCCCTTCTGTAGTTTGTCCCTGTTCTGACTTGCATAGATACTTAGGTGAAGTGTTTGCATACAAACATTGTGCACATTTGGTTTTAATGTTGCAAACTCCTCTAACTCAATTTTGTTTTTGTTTTTAGTCCTATTTGATTGTAAGTGACAAAGCTCGAGATGCAGCTGCAGTTTTGGTCTCAAAGTAAGTCACTTAAGCTGATATTGACAGAAAATGTACTGTCTCATTACTGTTGGTGTATGTACAAGAATATCCTCACTGCCTCATGGGAGGACTCCTGTTCAGGGTGCCAGCTAGCCATGCTCTCACCCCACGACACATAAGATGTAATAAGCTCAAGCAGTTCAGTTGAAGCTAGCTTCCCACCAAACTTTCCATTTCTCTGTTTCAATGGACACTCAACGCTCATTGGTTCCTTGAAACCACTGAGCTGTTCACACTGGGCCATGTGTGTGTGTCCTTTTTGTGTTATTTTGAAAAGAACGTTTTGTTCAGCTGAGCATCACTTGAACCTGCTAATACTTTCCTCTTGTTTCTTATGGCTGGAACCAAAACAAGGCCGCTATCAGCACTCAGCCACCTAAATTTGCAGTTTGTGGGGAACAAAATTACACATCTAAATTGAAGCCTCTTAGCATCCTGGGTCATTGAGAATTGCCTTCTTCTTTTCCCTGTCTGGAATAAATTGATAGTTGCAATATTTCTGCCATAGGTGCTGACTTTAAGGAACCAATCTCTTTTTCACAGTATCATCTTATGAAGTGATGCAACAATTTATAAGTGAAATGAGGGTTTCCTTATGTTAATGGTGTGCAAGCATATCCAGATATCTTCCACTACTTTTAAATGCTGCCCCAACATTTGTACAAAACCTCCCATTGAATTCAGTGATGAGATCCTCCTCCCCCTCCCTCCCCCTGCCCAGCACTGATTTGTCAAATGGACTTGTGAAATCTATGGTAAAAACTAAAAAGTTATCCTTCTGGCAACGTCTAGAGCCTATCACACGTTTTTTATGCTGGTTTTATGGTGGCAAAATTGTTTGGAAGTTAAGAATTAACAATATTATCATTGGCTCTGTTGTAAGAATGTGGTTATGGAATATCGCCTGTAGCAAAAGGCTCTTCAGGCGGCACAGAAAATGCATTGTATTATGAAACTGGCCTCAGAGCATTGGAGTAAAGTACATGTAGATTTCTAGTGACATCTAGTGGGAGTTCTAAGCAAACTGAAAACATTTTATTTTGGATTGGTCAATGGTACATAGTGACAGATGAAGCTTTTGACAGCAGTGCATGTTGGTATATATCTTTGTTGTTTGTTTGTTTGTTTTTTAAAAAATATCGCTATAAAGCACTTGTCATTCCAGTTCTGGTTTTGGTAAAAAAGAAGTGGGAACATATACCTTTCTTGATAAGATTGGTGGAAACTAATACTGTGGTTTTCTGCTAATATTAGCATGGAAGAAGAATAGACGTTGTCTTCTGCTCCTAGGATTGTTCTGCTACCTTTCTGGTTATTTGCACTTTTCCTTAGTGTCTAAGTATTCACTCCATCTCTTGATTTGCTTCCAGCTTTTCAGATAGTAGTAAGGCAAAACACACATAATATTATTTCCTTTATGTAAATAAAGTGTCCCACTCTAATTTTAAGACAATTTGGCTGTTAACTGTGACAGTATAAATTTCTGGGTTATGAGCTTCTTTAGAAAAAGACAGGGTTATATTGCTGACAGTTGGAATGTTCCCATCCAAAATATGTTGGAAAGCATCCATTGGCCAGTTGCCTTTAGGAACAAAAAAACCAGTTTGTCTAACAGGAAAAATGAGTTACCAACTGAACTGCTGTGAATAGGTAACTTGCAAAGTTTCTTTTTTTTCCTGTAACAGGTTTATTACCCGCCCTGATGTCAAACAAAAAAGAATGGCAGACTTCCTGGACTGGACCCTTTCAATGTTATCTAAATCCTCCTTTCAGACTATGGAGGGAACTATTGTAATGGATGGCATGCTTCAAGCACTGGTAAACAATGCTATTTCTTTCAAAGATAATCTGAAATATTTTTCCTCTAAATGCTCTTCTTGGCAGAAACCCAGTAGATGGCATTCAATTACCTTCCCATCCCTTAAGCTTTGGAAACATTTATCATTATTTAAGAACAGTATGTGGTTGCCAGATACAATATGGAACAAAAATTCTCTGCTATTTATAGTTGCATAGCAGAGAGTGATACAGATACAGGTTTTTTCATCTTGACAACACTGTGGCAGGAGAAGTTGCAGCTGCGAAAGCTATGTAAGTATTAAATATACAGAAAACCTGTTTTCCAGTATTATATGCACCATCCCCAGAAGAAGACTTGCATGTTGCCAGTCATACCATGAATGCATTGTGCAACTGAAGGACACATAATTTGCCACTGACAATGGATTGATAACATTAGTTTTAATTGAGCATATTTGCGGCTTTATTTATTACCAATTTGGTTGTGACTGAATGAATTTGATAATTGCAAATCAACTAAGATAAACATTCTGGATTGTATCCAGTGTAGTACTGGTAACATTCTGCATGGTAGGTCACACAATATTTTGCTCAACAAATTTCCACTTTCCCTTGTTCCCTCATTCACTCCACTCATGCACTCAACTTTGGCACTTCTGTTCTGATTTGTTAAACTACATAGGTTCCCTTGACATCTAAATAAGGATCTGCATTTAATTGTTGCTTGTAAATCAGCATCTTAAACCAGGATCTAATCTGGGTTGTGTTATAACTGGGCCAACATTAGGCTTGTCAAATTTTATGTGCAGGCTACGTTCCTTACACACCCATTCTGTATGTGGGCAAGCTGGCATAACTGCCCATTGCTCTTTGCTGCAATGAACTCAACAGTACAAGGGATTAAAAGGAAGGGTGGGTGAAAAATTCTTCCTCTGCTCCACTAACCTCTGGTTCATCACTAAAACCATTGCCCTCAAATGCATTGCTTTTCTGCATAGTGTGAATGCCAAGCATTTACTTTTATTGAGGAAAGTAAATGGTTGTATTCACGGGCACTACTTAAGCAGTTATCCCCCCCACCACAAATATTAGCCCATATTGTAGTCCATTAATTTCCCCCCCAGTAGCATTAATAGTAAACAGTAAAGTTTATATCCAACTCATTTATATTCATAGTAAGCTCATTGAAATCAGTAGACTTATATTATTTGGGTCCATTGATTTCAGTGGATCTAATTTTGTATGGCTTGGTTGGATATAGCCCCAAAACCAAGCTGGCTTCTATATGGATAGCTCTTTGCCTTCATCTGTAAATACTTGTCCAGTTTGGTTGAACTATAGTGTAACACTAGTGGAGTTTCACAAGCATTTTGCTATTAGTATTAGAAAAAGCTTTTATATGCAGTTCTTTCCCTTTCCCTTTCTTACCCTATCAGATTCCTGTTTTGCAAGTTTTAAGGGTTAAATGCCACATTCATCCACTTAACAAAGGCTGATCATTGCTGCTGGTGCATGATGAAACATGTAGGACACAAAATGTGCATCATAATTCCTTTGTTCCGTGTGGTTTTATTTCTCCTGTTATTAGTGTCTGTTAAACGAAACAGGTGAAAACTTAACAAGTTGAATCGAAACTGGAATGATTTATAATTTTCTTGAAACCAGGAACCTTAAGCCTGTCTGTCTATGTATGGGTTTTGCTTCCTCTTAAAGAGCGGCATACATATTGAACAACTTCATTGATTAGGTTGCCCTTTTGGTTATGTCTCTCTGCTGTTGATAGATTGACTGCTTGCAGCATAATCCTATGCATGTCTATCCAGAAGTAAGTCTCATTAAGTTCAATGGGATTTACTTCCAGTTTAGTGTATATGATTGCAGCCACACATCCAGGGGGCTAATATTAGTTGCCCAATATATTCAGTGGCTCTTCTCCTTTTACAATGAAAGGTAAAGTTACAGGTGACAGGCAAATGGTATTATGGAGTCGGCGAGTATTAAAGAAAAGGAAATGAACAACAATTAGTGTTATGAATGTTGAATGGTATTTATATAAATATATTACATTTGATCTATTTGCTCACATTGTATCTGCATAGTTGTAGAATTTGCATTGATTACACATTTCAGTCTCCTTGCTTAGCAGGTTTTTTAAAAAAATAGATGTCCCTCCCTAAAATAATAAAGCCTCCCAAGTAGGATAACATTCAAGTTCTTCCACTTTTGACATGCCCCAATAGGATAGGATACTAGCCCAATTACATCTGGGAAGAGTATAGAAAGCAGACACTGCCTACACAGAGCACTCCAATCTTGGCCTATCTAGACAGACAGTAGAAAACAGGACTGGAGCAAGGATAGAGATAATATGCAAGATCTGATGCAGAAATAGCTGGAACCCTCCTTCCCTACCTTAAACACAAAACACTTTCCATTAACCCATCCATGAAATTCCATGGGCACTTTGCTAGTGGTAGTGCTTGAAAAAAGTCGTGTGTGTTTCCTTTTAGAGTTCAGGCTTCTTAAAGCATTACATATGGTGTCCTTACACAAACCTTGTAAGAGATGTAGCTGGTAGTGTGAAGGAAGATGGAACTGAGGCTGAGAAGGCAAGGCTTGAGGGAGTGTGGCGTGCCTAAGATAATCTTCTTGGTCCAGGTTCAACATCTCCAGCTAAAGATGACTCAAAATATCAGGTCTGAGGAAAAAAGTTTGTATGGTATCTTGAAAACGGTAGACAGTGCTTGGTTTAATGTATCAATGGACTACAGTGGTACCTCTGGATGCGAACGGGATCCGTTCCGGAGCCTTGTTTGCATCCTGAAGCGAACGTAAGACGCGTGTGCGCGGGTTGCGTTTTGCCGCTTCCGTGCATGCGCGTGACGTCATTTTGAGCGCATGCGCGAGTGGCAAAACCCGGAAGTAACGCGCTCCTTTACTTCTGGGTCGCCGCAGAGCGCAACCTGAAAATATTCATCCCGAAGCTACTTAAACCCGAGGTATGACTGTACCAGTAGTCTGTCTCTGTGTAAGGTAAGATTTGGTTTGGGGGTGCCATTTACAGCAGTTATTTCACATTAATGAGTACAACTCCCTGAAGCCTTTGACGTATATTGAAGATTATGAAGCGACATAACTTGCTGAAATGACATAACAAAATGGAAGAGGGCTTCATTTCTGGATTTAGCCATGTAAAAATAGGTGATAAACAGCTACATCCTCGTGACTTCATCAGAGCAGATTCAGTGGCCAAGTTATCTTGGCAATCTTTATATCAAAGTGGTTCAGCTTTTGTGGAAAGATGCAGACTCTTAGAGCTTGTTCAGTTGCTATTTCTTATGCAAAGGTGGGTATGAATCTTGGGTTTGTGAGCTGCACCCCTGACACTTCACAACGCACGGAAGGTAGTGGCTGTATTTAAATGAATGCTACACCTTTCCCCTCAAACCTTATGATATACAGTAGTGCCTCGCAAGACGAAAAACTTGCAAGACGAAAGAGTTTTCCGTTTTTGAGTCGTTCCGCAAGACGAATTTCCCTATGGGCTTGCTTCGCAAGAAGAAAGCCCATAGGGAAATCTCCGGGGACCTCTTTTAAATGCTGGCGGTGGGGAGCAAAGCCTTTCGCCCCCCCCTCCGGCCTTCAGAAGAGGTCCAGGAAGGCCGGCGGGGGCGGAAAAGCTTTGCTCCCCATCGCCAGCATTTTAAAAGCAGTCCGGGATAGCAGGGAATTGCGCTGCGCTTTCCCGCTATCCCGGACCGCTTTTAAAATGCTGTCCGTCGGGAGCAAAGACCTTCGCCCACCGCCGGCCTTCAGAAGAGGTCCTGGCCTTTGCTGCCGACCCCCAGCATTTTAAAAGCCCCCGGGACAGCGGAGACTTCTTAAGTCTCCGCTGTCCCGGGGGCTTTTAAAATGCTGGCGGTTGGCAGCAAAGCCCTCCTGTCCCCGGAGCTTGCGGGGCGGGAGGTGGGGAGAAGGGCTTTTCTTCCCACTGCCAGCCTTCAGAACAGCCTTCTGAAGGCTGGCGGTGGGAAGAAAAGCCCTTCTCTCCCCCCCCCCCCAGCCTTCAGAAGAGGTCGGGGGACAGACTGTCCCCGGACCTGGTCTGAAGGCGGTTTCCATAGGAACGCATTGATTGATTTTCAATGCGTTCCTATGGGAAACCGTGCTTCGCAAGACGAAAAACTCGCAAGAAGAAAAAACTTGCGGAATGAATTAATTTCATCTTGCGAGGCACCACTGTAGAAGCCACTAGAAAAGCAGGTTCTACCTCAGGGAATCAGGCTCATACATTTAAATAAGCATAGCACTGTACAGATGAAGTATTCTAACTAAAATGCAGCAGTAGCTGCTGAACATATGCTCCAGCTGCTGAGAAAGTGGGGATTGTCCTTGCATTGCTAAGACACACACTCAGTTTCACCACGTGTTGAAGTTTGACAGGGAGGGGTAGAGTGGGGAGAGAAGTAGCATCTGAACAGTTCCTGAGCTTTGAAATGTTTCTTCCTGAATCGGTCTGAGCAAACAGGAATGCTGCTGTTTAATTTGTAATTTAATGCGTAGTGGTTAACACTGACATAGTTCTTGTTGAAACATGCATTGCACATTGCACAACTTGATTCCACTTATGGGCTTGTTTTTCTGCACCTGTTGATAGCGCACCTGTTGTGAAATGATGGATTGCCAACAGGTAGCACTACTTGATTTCTTTCAGATACACTTTTGAAATAAGGCATGTCTGTATTGAATGTAAAACGCAGCATTGGCTGCTGAATGTACTCTCCTGTTGACAGACAATATTTGCATTATGTGCCTTTGTCGGCTGTGTGTTCTGTCAGCCTGTGCTGGTTGCCAGCATGACACTGACGGAGGCTAGGAAAAGTGTAGCATGAGGACCTATGTGATACTTTTCTGGTTTGGGAAACCTTAGTTAACCTTAGTTAAAGGTTTGATGACCAAACGAGATAAGACTTTTAAAAATGCAAATTGCATGGAGGGGGGTCATTAGTACACTAATG